TTGTTTTAATGAGATTTCTAACCCTTAGCAACTAGCTGATAGCTGAGAGATAAATGCACAACAATATTATCAATCTATTACTAATAACTACAGTATTTAATTTTATATTATTACTAATAACTCACTCATTTTAAAGTAATAACATTCGTTAACCCTTGATACGATATAAATTGTTGAATATTATACTATTTTTGTGACTAAACAAAGTCGATTATTATCGTAATTTAGCGTAGATACGATGACCAATATGTAATGGCATCTATTTTGATCGCAGTCATTTTTTGATGTATACTAATTGTTCGACCTTATTTTCGCAATTTGGTCATATTAGCAGGAAGACCTAAACGAACGCATCTTGTCCCTATTCCATAGTATGCATGATAATTTCCAGTCTGACCGTAACGTGGTACATTCCCAGATATTTCGCCGACATCGTAGTCGATGTCACTATTCTCAACACGAAACTACAATTCGTGGAAGAGACAGGTGAAGTTAATCCATTGGCTAACTTTCTGTCGAAACGGTTGCTCTACCACTTCTCTTCTTGTCCTGGCCCCTCTATCTATTTCCTACCCCATTGTTATACCCTAGTCCTATCACAAATTCTGACATTTCAAAAGGTGTGCCTTCACCCCCAGTCACGTGACCGCAAGGACCCCAAAGTTGTAATTGCTTCTTCGAGCAGATTACATTCACTGAGAACGTCTTCATCTGATTTCAGAAACTTCCTCACCCAATTCTTCCTTACGATCCTTTTGCCTCTTGTTATTGATAGATCCTTGATTTAGGCGTCTCATTTTTGCTTGTCTTGCCCTATACTTGTTTTCTCCGAGTTTGCTTAGGCAATAGGCAAAGTTGCCACTAACTCTGCCTTTTTCCAATTTCATATTTATTATTTTTCCCCATGGATGTAAATGGCCTCCTTAATCTTCCGTTTCCTTGTATTCACACCATATGAGGCCCTTCTTGCTGATGATATTCAATTAATCTCGTATTCAGTCCGTGTGATGCGTTACGCTATATCCAATCTTACAGTATCCATTTTGCTGCAGAGCCTTTGATGTTTAGTGATTCGTATGCTTATTTTTATCCCTGTTTCGCCAATATAGTTCTGTTTGCAGACTGCATGCTATGAAGTCAACACCAAGCAATCCACTTTGTCCACCCTCCCATGTTGCGTGGATAAACTTTTAAAGGGCGTTGTTTTTTCCTTCGTGGCCATCTGAATATTCCATTTTCTTTATATTGGCTGTAGTTTTTTATCTAGTTAGAAGGAAGAGGCATATGTACCTTTGCGAGTTTCTGCATCCCTACCTTTATTTTATAATCCTCGTGCTACCATCGACTATTTACGATCAGTA